GGCTGCTGTCGCTGCCCTTGCAGGAGCCAGAATTGCTGCTGCTGCTCAGCGAGGAGGTGCCGTAGGTGTCCCTCCCGGGGGGCGAGGGGCGCCTGGAGGCAGGGAGAAGAGGCTGTGTCTCAGGCCGAGTGGCTGAGGGCGCTGAAGACTTAAAGAAGGAGGCAAAGCCACTCCGTCCATAAAACCCGCGACTGCCAACCACCACACCGAGAACACACAAGACAAAAGGACAAAACAAACAGCAGGGATCAAAATGGCACGGACATGGTGACGGGCACAAAGGCAGGGCTGGGAGGATGCCCACCCGCTCCCCCCTCCCTGGTGTGGCAGCCCTGGATGCTGACATGGCATCCTTGCACCCTGAGGATGAGGAGCCCTTTGGGAGCCCCTCGGAAGCCCCTTGAGAGTCCCCTGGGAGCGTGGTCCTGGCAGAGCTTTAGCCACATCTGCCAAAGCATCACCTACACGTGGGCAGTTCTGCCTCTTCTCCCTGCCCATGCTGAGCCTGTACCTCCATAACAGCAGTCCAGATCATAGAGACATTTGGAGGGGAATAAATTTGGTTTTTTTCATCCTTTTTCTCTCTTCATCACTCAGCTCAAGGAGAGACTTTCCAAAGGTTGACACACCTCTCAGTTTCACTGCCCCAACCCCAGTGCTCTCCACCACCGCCTGCCTTCGCCCAGGTGGACAGAGGGGTTGTTCCCAGCTGTGGCACAGACGGACAGAGGGACAGGGGGTGCAGCGCTCAGGGGGCCGCATGCACGGACAGGGAAGTGCTGTGCAGCTGGCAGTGCCATGCAACCCCCGAAAGCTGTTGCTGGGGGTTCGTGCTGCAAAGTGGCAGCTGGTGGTGGAGGTGTGTGGATCGTGGGCATCGTCCCCTCCCGGCTGCAGGTGCTGGTGTCTGGTCCCAGGGCCAGAGGTTGAAGCATATTCACCTTCGTGATCCGGTGGATGCGCGTCTGCTCCCCGGCAGGGACATGGCCGCGGTGCCACGAGTCCTGGGCACAGGGAACTGCGGGTGAAGGCAACAGAGAGAGGAGGTGAAGGCAGGAAAACTGCCCTGGTGAGACAAGGAACCTGCAAAACATGGGGTGAGCCCTGGCACCAGGGCATCAGCGTTGTCCCAGAGCCACCAGTACAGGGAGAGATGTGGACAGCAACGCCTGCACATTTGGGCTGTGCTTCCTGCCTGCCTCCCATAGCCTGGGAATGCCAGGATGCTGCATGCCTGAGGTCCCACAGGGTGCTGTGGGCACAGGGTGAGGGTATTCTTAATTTGTAAGGCAGAACAGAAGCAGAGCAGGTGGCTGCCTATGGTCTGAAGCTCCTTTCCCACCAGGCTGCAGACATGGGACAAGCTTCCCCCTGCCCTCTTCATCCCTGCCAGGACAAGAGGTATGCCACAGGGATACCAGTGCCTGTGTGTGGCACAGGGTATGTGCCTGTGCCAGGATGCTTGTAGTGGTGGCATTGCTCGGGGCACAGATGGAACAAGGGCTCTGACATCCGGCCCTGGGCCACCCCAGGCAGGCAGCTCTCCCTGCAGTGGACTAGGCACCTGCTTTTCCTTAATGAATTCCAAATCACCCATTCAGCAGTGAAATCAGGTGAGGAAGAACAGATCCTTGCATGGCGAGGCAGCAGCAGCTAATCCCTTGGGAAATACAGAGCCAGCTTTCCTGTAAATAAATAGGCCAGATCCAAAGGCTTGCAGCACCTCAGGTACACGCAGGATGTGAGGGACAAAGGAAGCATCTGTTCAGCACCCACATCCTGCTGAGCATCCCATGGCACCACTGGGAGCCCCACTGTGCTCACAGGCTGCCAGAGACAGGCAGGCTGGGGGCACTGTATGGGCCCCTTCCCCCTCTCCAAGCCTATTCATAATGCCAGTATTTATCCCGGGTTTTGGCAGAGCAAGGCAAGTGATGGGACCAGCCAGCAGATAATCGATGGGTGACAGGAAACACTCCGTGCTGCTGGCCCTGCTCCAGGGGAGTGTGAGAAGTCCGACAAGAGAGGAGGCAGGAGAGGAGGGAGAGCACACCCAGCTCACCCCAGTGCAGCCTTTACCACTCCAGGGTGTTTTTTTCCAGGCTACCTTAAAGCCCACTCTGGTCAGCCCAGGTCTCTCCTCTGCCCAGGATTCACTGCTCCCTAATCCCCAAACGAGGGCACCAAAGAGCCCAGAGTGCCAGCGATGCACAGCTGCAGGGGACCTCTCAGACCCAGCAGAGTGCCCCACACCAAGGAGTGCCAGTACTCCTTGTACTGGCACTCCTTGGCGCAGCAAGAGGGATTTGGGGGTCCTGCTCCTCCCACCTGGGATGGATTTGCTGGGGGATGCTCTGGGCAGCGGGAGGCAGCACTCTGTGCCGCCGGATCACTGCTCCCGGGTGGGCAGTGAGCACAGCCGGGTGGCTGCAGGCTCTGTTACTGCAGCAGTGTGAATCAGCATCCACGGAGAGTTGAGCGGGAGCATCCTCCAGGATCCTCTGGCATCCTCCAGCAGTGCCACGCAGGGCTGCAGTACAGTCAAGGCTCCAGCAGCTCTCAGGCAAGGATTTAGGGAGATTTGTGACAATGAGGGTTGACTCCTCACTCTCTCACAGCCCCAGGCCCTGTGTCCTGGCCTCTGCAGCCCATGGTACCTGGTATCAGCCCAATGGTATCCCAGTATCTGTCCAGTGGTGCCCACCATCATCCAAGTAGTACCCAACATCCTCCCAGTGGTGCCCAGCATCAGCCCAGCAGTACCCAGATCTTCCCCACTCTACATAGGGGTCCCTCTGTGCCCCACTAACACCCAACACCAGCAAGTGCCAGTGCCTCAGATGGCACCTATGTGTCCAGCACATGAGGTTCCTGAGAACACCCCACACTGCACCCCAGGCACCTGCAGCCAGGAACAGCTCTGTGGGGAAGCCTGGATTTGGCCTCATGTCTGGGGAACTTTCCTCCTCCTCTTCCTCTTCCCACTGCTGCAGACTTGCCTGGTGCCCACGCAGAGGCTCGATGCCACCCACGGCACCCAGGGCATCTGGAGTTTAATCATTGATAATAAATTGTCACTGTCTTTATTCCCAAAGAATCAACAGGCCGCTTCGGTCTTCCCAGAAGCTTCACTGTGCCCATGGGCTGGGCAGGCTGGGTAGACTCAGCACCAAAGCTGAACACACACCTTCCCACATGGTATGTGGCTACTAAAGGTGGAGGAAATTACTGATCTGCACTCAGAATTAGTCCCATCACATGGACCAGGGTAAGCAGCTGCAGCATCAGTGGAGCCTTGCCAGGAAAGCAAGGGAAAATCCAAGATCAGCCCTGGTCTAGCACATGGCATCCCTGCCCATGGTGCTGGGGTTAGAATCACAGCCTGGTCTGGGTTGGAAGGGACCTTAAAGCTCATCTCATTCCAACCCACTGCCATGGGCAGGGACACCTTCCACTAGAACAGGTTGCTCCAAGCCACATCCAGCCTGGCCTTTAACACCTTCGGGGACGAGGCAGCCACGGCTTCTCTGGGCAACCTGTGCCAGTGCCTCACCACCCTCACAGGGAACAATTTCTCCCTAATATCCAATGTAACCCTGCCCTGTCTATGTGAAGCCACCCCCTGTGTCCTGCCACTCCATGCCCTTGTCCAAAGTCCTTCTCCAGCTCTTGGAGCCCCTTTAGGCACTGGAAGGTGCTCTAAGGTCTCCCCAGAGCCTGCTCTTCTCCAGTCTGAACAACTGCAGCAGTCTCAGCCTGTGCCCATAGCAGGGATGATCAGGGCAATTCGTGGAGCAAGATAAGGCAATGTGGGGGTTGCTGGCTTGTCCTCATACTGGGAGGACCAGTAGGACCCTGCTCAGGACATCACTTCTGTGTCTGCCCTCACTCCCTGGGAATGACAGCATGGGCTAGGGTCTGACACTCCAACTTACACCAGATCTGGAGTTCGTGCTGCAAACCACCTGCATGTGCTCCAGAATCCTGCAACCCCCCCCAAAATGCAGCTTGGGGATCAGGCAGGATGAATGGGGCCCATCACAAGGACAAACGTGTTCCTGGAGCCACCAGCAGCAAAACTCCCTGTGAGTCTCCAGGCACACGTGGAACAGAAGGGCAGAGCTTTTAGAAACAACAGCACAAACCAGGGCTTGTTCCATACAGTGGAATTAGCCTGGGGAATTCCTGATAAATAAAAGCAATGGGTCCTGATAAGGAAACAGCCAGAGCTACAGCATGAAAAGCAGACCCCCCATGGAGGGGGCACAAGACCCCCACACTGCCACTGTCCTGGGACGGGTGACTCCATGGGGCATGTTTTCTGGTGGGTCCCCAGCTCCCACTAGCTGCAGAGGGCGCCTGGGGCACTGCTGACCCACTGATCACACCACGAGAGCAATGCAAAGGGCAATGGATGGCAGAGTGGGGGCAGAGCACCCTGAGGCTCAGCCCAGCACCCCAGAAGAAAATTTCCAAAGGAAGAGTGGATGAGCTGTCTTTTTGGGATCACTGCCCTGCAGAGATGTCTCTTTGCCTCAGATCCCATCACCTCCTCCCTCCATGCTGGATCCCCCAGCTGTGCCAGTGATGGACAGTCCAGGCTGGGCAGGTACTGCCCCTCCTAGATGATTCCCACATGGGAAACAGGGCCACAGGACCCCTGGAGAAACTTCACCATTGGCTCAGTGAAGCCTCCAATGGTTCCTCAGCTTGTCTCTCTGAAGGTTTCACAGCCACAGGCTCACGAGTTTGTTCCCCTCAGCTTCCAAAGCTCCAGCTGCTGTGCTGGCCTGAGACACCCCACCAGCTCATCCCATCCCCACAGGGAACATGAGAGAATGTGTGAGCCCACAGCTCACTGCCAGTGCCAGCCCTCAGCACACTGCTGCTGGGTCTGCAGCCACCACATTTCCCTGGATTTCTCGCTCACTGCTTCCTTTGTTGGGGCTCCCATCACCCTGCCTGCTGCTGGATTCCCGTGTTTCCCTTGGCACATCCTGTGTGAGGAGCGTTTTGCAATGGTGGCACCAAGCCCAAGCATCCAAGAGCAGCTTCACCCACTGCAGAAACCTGGGAGAGGAACTGTGGTGACCCCATGGCTCCCCCAGGAGATCTCCAGCCTCCCAGGATTAACATGATTAAAAGCAGAGGGAACATGGGGAGGGAAATAACAGCTTTGTTTTTCCAGGGGACAAAAAGGGCTCCCCAGGAGCCTCCCTGCCTTCCTGACACTGACTCTGCTTTTCTTCACACTAAAAATAAGCAAAGCACTGCACGTGGCCAACAATCAGCAGCTGAGGTGGGACAGAGCCCTGTGTCACCAGACAGCAGCAATGCCAGGGGCAGTTTGCATTGGAAAAGGGACTGGGGTGCAGCTGGGTGGTGGTGGGAAGGAGCAGGATCCAGCAGCCAGGGCTGGCAGAAGTCCTGGTGGGTCAGCACTGGGAGCACCACCCGAGCAGCTGGGGGCAAACATTGGTGACCATGTTTGTGCTCCTCCTCCTGCCACGGGGCATTTTTTGGGATACAGGGGTTGCTATGCTCCTGCTCGGGGGATTCCAAGGTTGTGGGGATATCTCCAGGGGCTGGGAGTCTCTGTTCCAATGGAGACAGGCTCATCCCAAAGCAGGTAGTGCTTCACCTGGGTCCTGGGCAGAGGGAGATCATGGAATCACAGAACCATTTAGGTTGGAAAAGACCTTTAATATCATCCAATCTAACCCAGCAGTGCCAAGGCCACCAGTAAATCCATCTCAGGGCAGAGCCAAGTGCTCAGGGCACGAACAGGGATGAACCCCACAGGGTGTTTATGCAACACCACCAGAAAAATCAATGTTGCTAACAGTGGTTGTATCCCATTCCAAAATGCAGGAGCATCTCCTTTTATTCTCCTGTTTGTTACAAAACGCTGAGTTGACACCCAGAGATTAGAGGAACACAGAGACCATTTGGAAAGCTCAGGTTATGCAGCTCATCACTTTTCCAGCTGACCTGGCTACAGCTCCAAATGGGAAGGTG